CCGAGCGGACAGCACATTGGACTTGTGATCCTGTGGTCCCGGGTTCGATCCCGGGCGCCGGTGAGAAACAATAGGCAGTTTCTTTCACCCTATGCCCCTGTTATCTAGCAGTAAAATAGGTACCTGGGTGTTAGTCAGCTGTCACGGGCTGCTTCCTGGGGGTGGAGGCCTGGTCGAGGACCGGGCTGCGGGGACACTAAACCCCCGAAATCATCTCAAGATAACCTCAAGATAATCCCTCTCTCGTCGGGGAGTGCTGCGCAGACAATCGGTGCGGCAGTAAATTTTGATGTTTGCTTGTTTACTTGGGATTGTAGGGAGTTTCTACCTTTCTGTTCGTTTTTTTTGTTTTAGTTTATTACCATGTGGGGGTTTGTTTTGTTATGCCTACCTTTCTGGGTGCCTATTCCCAGTCGATGGCAGATAAGGAAGACCCCCAACCACAAGGGGGGTTTCTGGGGCAATTGCTCCCTGAAACCTCTCTAGAGGGGCCAGGTTCTGGCACTGGTTCCTGGTAGGTCTGAACTCCATAGCTAATGTCCCGGTCTAATACAGTGGCACCTCGGCATACGATTGCCCCTACTTACGATAATTTTGAATTACGATGTAAATTTCATCGAAAAATGCAACTCGACATCCGATGGTGTCGTCGACTTCCGATATTTGTTGGTACACGTTCGGGTTGACCGAGCGCGTGGTTCCTGGTCACGCGGCCGACCTGCTTCAGTTTACTACAGCTGCCCGCTTATTGACGATCGCGCCTATTAGAAATTCCGCTTTTGTGGTGATTTTTTGCATTTTGAATATTAACCCTTCAATTGCGCATCGCATCATATGATGCTTTGACTGACTTGCAGTAAATTGCGCATCGCATCATGTGATGCTTTGGAGTACTACACAAGATTTAAACGGCCCGCAGATACACGGGATTCACCACACCTTCATCAGGGCTCTTGTAAACAGACGGCATTTTACAAAAAAATCGTGGGCCAAACTCCAGGGTGTTAGGGGCCTCAGTATTGAGTGAGCTACCAAGCCTGACGCACGTAGCATGAGCTCACAGCACTGCTGTTCAGCTTGTGACCACAGCATCGCCTAAAAATGCCATAATATACTTGTTCATGCTATAATGTAGCGATGATATTACAGAAGACCCCAGACAGTGATAAAACTGACCAGGGTTCTGATAATAGCAGGATTGTGGTGATATTTGGTGCTGTGCGCCATGGAGGGAGGAGTAATGCTGTGGGAGGGAGGATGGTGGCGTTGTCTTCTGACTGTGTGTGGCCACCAAGATTTATTGACTGCACTCACCATACCAGCTTAGTGGTTCGCTATGGTGAACACAAATGTAGATACTTATATATAACATCTGTATAGTTTGAAAAAACAGCGAGAGCAGGAGGTTGGGAGCCGCCATTTTGGTGAGGGTGGAGCGTCGTCTGCAGGACTTACCATGTTGTTTACTGATGACCACGATGGTCTTTGGGCACCATACCAGTTTACTTGCACAAGTATGGTGAATAAAACAGGTAGATATTTATATATAATGTGTGTATATAGCGTAATAACACCACAAACAGTATTGTTGTAGGAGAAATATTAGTGCGTCTGGCCTTGAAGGCAGCCACCACCAGCTGACTGTGTGAGTAGCTTCGTCTCTGTGCCTTTACTCACCATACAAACTTAGATGTACAGTTATGGTGAACAAAACATGTAAATACTTATATATAACGTCTGTATATAAAAGCAAAAACAGTATGGTGGGTGGAGAATGGTGGCAAGTCAGGTGAGGTGAGGGAGGGAGTGGCAGCCAGTCACTGCCTGCCACTGCCACTGTCACTCAGCATACCAACTTAGTGGTTTGTCATGGTGAACAAAACATGCAGATACTTATACATAACCTGTGTATATAGTGTAATAACCGACAAAGTATTTGTTCACTGTTTGATGAACATAATTGAATCAACAATATGCACACCATATTTTTGAGTACAGAGATGATTCACTAATTTTATTATATAAATATATCACACTACAAATTATTGAATAATATTACAGCAAAAAAACTACGAAAAATAAATCAGAGACATTGAAATAATTAGGTAATTATCTCTTTGTGGAAACTCTGACCTGACAGCTGGCGATCAACAGACTGCCTGGGACGCACGCTCAGTCAGCGCCTGATTTTTGCCACACTTCCCCGCCCTATAGCAGGCAATATATGCCACTTACAAATTTTTTATTATTTTTCCCGTGATCAGTGAACACAAATTAACAGGTTAGGAAGAAAAAATAATTTTTTTTTTTTTTTTGGTATGCGCCTGTGGGTGTCAAATGGTATATAGCTATGCGCCATTTAAGGGTTAAAGTAATTATTATATATCACGCCATGAGTCCCAGGAAAGTCAGTGGTAAGGCTCAACATATGAAAACCCATGTAAGGATAACCATAGAGCAGAAACAAGAGTACAGAATGTCTCTTCCTCAACAATTAAGAAAATGTGTGCAGCATGGGAAGAATTGCAAACCTTTGCTGAAACGACTCGCCCAAATCAAGCTGCAGTAGGTCGTTTCCTTAACCTATTTAACCCTTAAAGTGCACATCACGTCATATGACGTGTTGGAGTACAGGGTACTACGCAAGATTTAAACGGCCCGCGGATACACGGGGTTCACCACACCTTCATCAGGGCTCTTGTAAACAGACGGCATTTTTAAAAAAAATCGTGGGCCAAACTCCCGGGTGTTATTGGCCTCAGTATTGAGTGAGCAACCAAGCCTGGCGCACGCAGCACGAGCTAACAGCACTGCTGTTCAGCTTGTGACCACAGCATCGCCTAAAAATGCCAAAATATACTTGATCATGATATTATGTAGCGATGATATTATTACAGAAGACCCCTGACTGATAAAACTGACCAGGGTTCTGATGATAGCAGGATTGTGGTGATATTTAGTGCTGTGCACCATGGAGGGAGGAGTAATGCTGTGGGAGGGAGGGTGGTGGCGATGTCTTCTGACTGTGTGTGGCCACCTTTTATTGACTGCACTCACCATACCAGCTTAGTGGTTCGCTATGGTGAACACAAATGTAGATACTTATATATAACGTGTGTATAGAGGGTATAAACAGCAAGAGAAGGTTGGGAACCGCCATTTCGGTGAGGGCGGTGGCGTCGTGCAGACGATGCCACCATGCAGATGACGGTGTTGTTTACTGGTTACCACTATGGTCTTTGGGCACCATACCAGTTTATTTGTACAAGTATGGTGAATAAAACGGGTAGATATTTATATATAATGTGTGTATATAGCGTAATAACACCACACAGTATTGTTGGAGGAGAAATATTAGTGCGTCTGGCCTTGAGGGCGGCAGCCATCAGCTGACTGTGTGAGGTCCTACGTCTTTGTGCCTTTACTCACCACACAAGCTTAGATGTACAGTTATGGTGAACAAAACATGTAGATACTTACATATAACGTCTGTATATAGTGAATTATAGCAAAAACAGTATTGTGGGAGGAGAATGTGGGTGAGTCAGATGACTTGAGGGAGGGCGGGAGTGGCTGGCTGGTGCACGGCGGTCACTCCTCGTTACTTTTTGACTCATAATAGCTACTTAGTGGTTCCTTATAGTGAACAAAACATGCAGATACTTATATATAACCTGTGCTTATAGTGTAATAACCAACAAAGTATTTGTTCACTGATTGATGAACATAATTGAATCAACAATATGCACACCATATTTTTGAGTACAGCAATGATTCACTCATTTTATTATATAAATATATCAAACTACACACTATTGAATAATATTACAGCAAAAAAAGTATGAAAAATCAATCAGAGACATTGAAATAATTAGGTAATTATCTCTTTGTGGCAACTCCGGCCTGACAGCTGGCGAGCAACAGACTGTCTGGGACGCACGCTCAGTCGGCGCCTATTTTTTGGCAGACTTCCCCGCCCTATAGCGGGCAATATATGCTACTTACAATTTTTTTTATTATTTTTCCCATGATCAGTGAACACAAATTAACAGGTTATGAAGAAATTTTTTTTTTTTTTTTTTCAAAATTACATGCGCCTGTGGGGAAGAAAGGATATTATACCCCTAGCATGTTAAGGGTTAATGACACTGTGATGCATCATTACAGACAAACGTTAAACGAAGGGAAAAACAAATGTCTCTTGACTAATTTGTAGTGAGACAAACAAGCACTGAACCACAACCAGGTCCTAGTGGTATTCAGGCAAATTTAGGAGAGAGAGAGTACCCCAGAGAAAACATCACTGCCTGATGTGATAATGGAAGGGGACTCCCCTTCCAAACAATAACAACTCTCCTCCTCCCCCTCTCACTCATCACCATCTTCCATACGCCATCAAGAGTCCTCCATAAAGGTAAGAGAAACTTAGGTACTGTATTGCAGTTAGAAAAAAACATTGCATTCAGTATAAAATGTATTTGTATGTGAATATTTTGGAGGGTGGGGAACGGATTAATTCAAATCCCTTTACTGTATTTCTTATGGGAAAAATCGCTTCGACTTACGATATTTTGACTTGCGATCTGTCTCTGTTAACGGATTAGCATCATAAGTCGAGGCCCCATTGTATAACATATATTAGCCCAATAAGCTCGAGGGAGCCTCCGGGGCTCACCCAGAAAATAGCGTTTCATTACAGTCAATGCTGGTTTTTTGTTTTGTTTTTGTGGAGAATATATAAAAACCAGCTGCAATGACTTGTGTCCTCTCCTGTGGCTCAAAAAGAGTCAAGCTCAAATTCTCTTCACTGCTATGTGATGTAACAAAATGGTAATCACTCTGTGCATTAAAATCGTGAATGCACTGGCTGTGCATCAAGGTGGTAAAGCAAGTTTTATGAATCTAGGGACAATCTTCAGTTGTTAACAGCTAAAGTGTTAGTGATACAGTACAGTATGCTCAACATTTTTTGTTAAAAATTTTCTTTTTCTTTCCAACAGGTTGCTAAGGTTTTAGACAGCAAACGATCTCAGAATGTAGGAATTTTTATTACGAGTCAGCATCTTGACATTGGTGATGTTGAAAATGGTGAGTTTATGTTATATTTATTTTAATTAATTAATTAATAATTCATTGTGTCAGAGGACAGGCAGCCAATATATACATACAGTACATGAACAAATTTCAAGGGCCGTGATGAGGGTTCGAACCTCGTGGATTTGTTCATTTGATGCATCACACTATTGTGATTTCTGCGTGCATACAGGACATATTAGGTTTATATTGAGGTTCCCTCCCCCCTCCCCCCAAGGTCAAATTACTGACCCTCCCCAGGATGCAACCCCACAACAAGCTGACTAGCTCTTAGGTATCTATTTGCTGCTAGGTGGACAGGGGCATTAAGTGATAGGAAATGCACCCAACCATTACTGTCCCCACCCAGGATTCAAACCCGGAATTCTTAATTGCGAGTCGAGAACGAACCCGACTGTACTACTGGGACCCTAAATTATTAGGGTCTTTTATTATTATTATTATTATTATTATTATTATTATTATTATTATTATTATTGAAAAAATCAACTGGAGCTCTTAGGTGACTGGAACCCACAAGCAGCATACTGCCAGCTCCAGCCTCTACCACTGTACCACCCAGACCTGGTATAAGATACACAACCTGGGATTCTACTGAATTGACAGGAAGTCTGGAGGCCTCTCCTGAAGCCACTGAAGTTAGTGTGATTTCTCTGTGTAATTGATGTTGGGGCATACATACAGTGTTGACCTACTTTACCCACACCCAAGTGCCTGGGGGATGTACGTAAATCTTGGTATGGCTTCAGGAGAGGCCTCTAGACTTCCTGTTAATTCAGTAGAATCACAGGTTGTATAACTTTAAAACGGCTGGGTGGTACAGTGGTAGAGGCTGGAGCTGGCAGTATGCTGGTCACCTAAGAGCTCCAGGGAATTTTTTCATCGATATATATAACATTAGTGTGATTTCTCTGTGTAATTATAATTATTATTATTATTACTATTATAAAGAGAAATCACATTAATGTGGATTTGTTCTTTGATAAATCACACGAGCCTTGATGGGGATTCGAAGCTATGTGCTGAGTGTTCCCAGTTGTGCTCTAGTCAAGTGACCCTGCAGCATCTTAGTGGTGAATGTGTTGACCATGTCGTGGTACAGTTGACTAGAGCATGTCTGGGAACACTCGCCGCATAGCTTCGAACCCTCGTCAAGGCCCCTGTTACCTAGCAGTAAATAGGTACCTGGGAGTTAGTCAGCTGTCACGGGCTGCTTCCTGGGGGTGGAGGCCTGGTCGAGGACCGGGCCACGGGGACACTAAAGCCCCGAAATCATCTCAAGATAACCTCAAGAAGAAGGCTCCTGTGGATTTGTTATTGTTGTTGTTTTAGAAAATTGAAAATATTATATTATAGGTACCAACTGGAGAGTTTCAGAATTGAGTTTGGTCATTAAAAGGAACAAAACCTTACTTTTGCCAAGTTAATATTGATGGTGATACTATACAGCATTTCAAAGTTTTCAGGCGTAACCTGAAATAACATAGCCGTTATATTTTTACAGCTTTGCTGTTGATGTTTCAGCTCCGTGTTTTACAGCTGTCTTTCTCATTATTATAAATATAAATGAATTTTGCATTTTAATAATAGCTTTCTACAGAATTATGAAGAGAATAATTGCATACAGGTACAGTATTTGGGAATATTTAAGCAAGATATTTTTGCTAAACCGATACAACTTGCATCATTTCAAATAATCAGTGTTCTGTTTTTAGAAATAATAATGTACAGGCCAACAACTCATATTAAATTAACATTTTGGTGCTCTATATTGCCCCTCGAGTGTATTTTGCCGTCCAGGTTGACTTTTAGGTTGAGGCAAGTGGAAAAGAGCATCTTTTCCCTGAACCCATCTCTGAATGCAGAAAACGATTTATCTATGTATTATCTATATTAATCGGAGATGGCATAAGTGGGCAAGGGTGGCACTCGGAGCAACAACTGTATACGCTCGCTTTATCGTCCTCATTGGTGCTGTATCCCTTTCATCCGACCATTGTGTTAAGTCCTTATTGTGCCTAGCTTCACCAATATCATGACCCTTATGTTGTTCAAACAATAAGGTCTGAATTTCACCGACAGAGCACGATCTTTCAACACCGCGTCACAGATGTTTGGGAGCCAGAGGCGCGTTCCCCACCCATGGTTACTCACTCAGTACTAACCCAGCCAGCAGCCCTAGGGCATTCTGGGAATTTTTTCCAAGATGGCTGCCTCTCACTGGAGTTCCTAAGAGAACATTTCGTACACAACTAACTGCGCAAACATTTTGAATGGGTTCAAAAAACTCAGTTTTCTCAATTGGCGCAGTTTCCCTCCGACCGACCGAGTTTTCTCGGTTGGCGCACTTCAGCGGCTAAACTACTAGATGGCTTCCTGGCAACTGTCCCAAGCCACCAGCAGATGTCATTACCAGCAAGGTCAACATAAGTGCCCTGGGATTCCACTCCACTTTTTTTGCACACTCCTCTACCTCACTTAGTTCCCTTGTCAGAGAGGAACTAGTTTCTAAGTTAGGGGTTTAGTGTTCATTTTGAGACTTAACTTTTCTAGGAGGAGCTCCTTGTGGCTTCCTGAAGCTGTACTCTGAGAAGGTTCCCAACTACCAGGTCACATCAGTTTGAAGTTCTGTAGGCTTACTGGGGACTAGTGACACAACTTGGCTTCCTTCAAAGAGGTGCAGGGAGCATTGACATTGTCACCTCACTAGGGAAGGCATCCAGAAAGTCAGTGGCTCAAAGGAAACCACTGCTGGGTTCAAAAAGAGACCAAAACCTGCCTAATAAACCCCTTCCCCATCCCCACCAGATATTTACCTGAATTTGCCTGAAGGCCACTAATACTAGCGTCCTCGATGAGGACAGGAACCCGGTGGTTTGTCAAAGGTCCCCGCAATTGCCCTGATGATTTTTTCAGCTAAATTTTAAACCCCAGCAGAGTTTTGGTGTTTATGGCTTCGGCTGGTAGGCAGTTCCATGGGTTTACAACCCTATGGGTGAAAAATCATCTCATGTTTTCTCTCCTACACTGTGGTTTGTTGAGCTTGAACCCATTGCTCCTCGTTCGTGTTACATCTGACCTTTTGAAGAAATTATCCGGATCGACATCCTCACAGTTGTTCAGTATGTTAAAGGTTTCGATGAGATTCGCCCTGTCATGCCTGGTTTACAGTGTTGTTAGCCCCATGGCCCTCAACCGTTCCCGATACGAGAGATGACTACGCTCCAGTATGATTTTTGTTGCCCAGTGTTGCACCTTCTCCAGAGCAGCTATGTCTTTCTGAAGAGGAGGATTTTCATGCCTGGATGCAATAATCCAGGTGGGGGGTGCACCCGAGACTTGCACAATTGAAAGACTACCTTCCTTTCCTTGAAGGTAAAGGTACGCTTGAGTATTGATTATTATTCCCAGGGTTTGGTTTGCTTTTCTGTGGAGAGCCCCTTTGGCTCCCAGGGGCAATACCGGGCTGATGTGTATATATTAGACTGTGGCAACAGTCGATCGAAGGAGTTCTAGGCCTTCCAGGAACCAGAGCCAGAACCTGGCCCCCCCCTCCCCCCTCAAGAGAAGCACAAGCAGCAATGGCCTAAAGACACCCCTGTGTAATTGGTACCAGTCTTTGTCTGCCATCTACCAGGTCAGACACCCAAAAAGATAGGAATTTCAAAACAAACTACTGCTGGTCAAAAATTGCAAACCGAAAGCCGAACTAGCAAACAGAACTCCCAATCAAAAACAACGAAACAAACATGACATCACCACAACTGCCATGTATCCGTCTGTGCATCCCCCCCACCCCCAAGAAGGGGGACGGGGGGGGGGGTTCCAGACCTCCACTCCGGCAACTTCCCTCAATTCAGAGGGTGAGTATCAAAAACGTGAAAACCGCCAACCGGAGGGAGGGAGAGATGCTGGGGAGCCTCCGGGTCTCACCCAGAAAATGGTGTTTCATTACATTCAACGCTGGTTTTCTGCCGAGAGTCCCTTTGGCTCCCCACAGCTACCTAACCAAAGATAAGAAGAAAAGGGACTCACCCGGGAGGTGGTTGTCACTCGCTCCTTAACTCAAGTCGAGACAACTGGCTGCAACCTGTGACCCAAGGCTATATACACCCGAGAAGGACTAGGAACATTAACAAGGTAACATGCAGCCAGGACCCTGTTCCACCTCCAAAAGCCGTGCCCGAAAAATAGGCCAGGACATATTGCCAAAACAGCAGTCGAACGCCGAACTTACTAACGGCGTGGGCATGGGGATAGACTGCAGGCTGGCTGGACCGAATAATCTTGCGAACAACCTGGGAGACCCGTGCCCTGGAATAGGGAAGAAGAGAAACTGGGTCAACCCAAAGCGCCTCTGCCACAGAGGCTGTAACACACAAATAACAGTGAAGACCACAAACAGACACTAAACATGATGCACCCCAAGCCGAATCAACCAAGCACCAACAACCCAAGGACCCCTTC